GCGTGCAGGAGGCAGCCAATCCACGATTCTCTCTTATCATTGATGTATCTCTCCCTCTCCCTTCCTCTCTGAAATCAATAAAAATATATATTAAAAAAAAAAGATAAACCAACACGCCTAATGAATTCACCAGACTGCCTGCCTGGCGGAGACCTCGCTGGCATCCGGCTGCTGTGGGAGAGGGAGCCATGGCCACAGGGAACTCACGGACTTAAGTTAAACGAAAGAGGATGTGCAAACACCCAGCAACACTCGGCGAAACGCGCAGGTGGTGGCCCCCTTGCTGTCTAGCATCTGCTCCTGCAACATCCCGGCATTTCTCCCATCAAACCAGGAGGCACCCCCAGTCCGTAACCAGCACAGGGGTGCACCACCTCCACCCCCGGGCACCCTCTCTCCGCAGCGCCATCTCCTTCCGCTGGTGGGCGATGGGCCAGGTTCAACCTGACAGCACAGACTTCAGCCACAAACGCAAAGGCCAAGTGCTTAAGAGAGAAAAAAACGTGCCAGGAAAGAGAAGCCAAACACGAGCAGCTTATCAACTCAGAACCGCGCTGGAGTAAATATTTGACTCTGGATAGCAAATAGGCCCGTTTCTAGGCAATTCTTCTGGTTAATAATTCTGTCAACATCCAATTCATTGAGCTCATTATCTCTGATGAAGAGAAGGGGCCTCAGGTGCAAAGTCAACACGCCTCACGAGGACACGCCTCACGGGGACACGCCTCATGGGGACACGGCCCACAAGGACATGCCTCACGGGGACACGCCTCATGGGGACACGGCCCACAAGGACATGCCTCACGGGGACACGCCTCATGGGGACACGGCCCACAAGGACACGCCTCACGGGGACACGGCCCACAAGGACACGCCTCACGAGGACACGCCTCATGGGGACACGGCCCACAAGGACACGCCTCACGAGGACACGCCTCATGGGGACACGGCCCACAAGGACACGCCTCACGAGGACACGCCTCATGGGGACACGGCCCACAAGGACACGCCTCACAAGGACATGCCTCACGAGGACACGGCCCACGAGGACACGGCCCATGAGGACACGGCCGAGTTTCCACGCCACGTGAGTGACGGCGCACTAGCACCAAGCAGTATGCTAACGTGTTCATAAACGTGAACACGGATTCTGCCCGCCATGTCCTGACAGAACGCAGGGCCTTTGCCTTGCGGTGTCGAGGCCGGGAAGGCACCTCCGGGCACGCTCAGGCCTGTGGGGCCTGTGGGTCTCTGCTGAACTCGGCGTCTCCCCGTGAACCGCACACGAGGGGAATCGGGAGGAAGCATAGCTATGACACCTAACGTTCCTCCTCGGGTAAGTGTCATAGAGCCGTTTAGCGGACGCTTTGCTCACAAGGCGCCTCGTGGGAAGGCTGCCTCCGGCCCCCGCGGACAGTTCAGTGGGCGCGGGAGCCGGCGGGAGGATCAGCTCTCCCGGCCGTCATCGAGGCCTGTCGGTGTCGGTCCCGGCTAGACTGGCAGCGCCGTTTTTATAGCCAGCGTCTACCTTCTGAAAAGTTAACTGAGAGGCCATGCATTTCCCACCAACATTCCTGATGAGTGACTAACACACTAAGAAACCAGCAGCGTGCTAGGATGGAAGGAAGGGACAAAACTAGATTACTATCAAAACTGACATGATGTCCTCATCACTGACAAAAACACTAGCAAAGCTCTAGGGATTTTTAGAGTGACCTTGACAGCCACTCCCCCTCACGGGGGAGGTCATGGCCGTGAGCCTGTCACAGCCATACCGCGTCCTGCCCGGCCAGTGTGGCTCAGCGGCTGAGCGTCAACCCATGAACCAGTTTGATTCCCGATCAGGGCACAGGCCCAGGTTGCAGGCTCAACCCCGTGTGGGGCGTGCAGTAGGCGGCTGATCCATGATTCTCTCTCATCATTGATGTTTCTATCTCACTCTCCCTCTCCCTTCCTCTCTGAAATCAATAAAAATATTTTTTAACATCGGGTTTGCCGCTCACAGCGGTCACACTCTCCTGACCTGCCCACAGTCTGGAAACCCCAAAGCCTAGTCCACAGGGCACGGCAAACACAGCTCACACGCAGCACGGCGTGGGGGAGGGGACGGGAAGAACACACGTGGGGATCTGAGGCGCCAAAGGGGGGCTGTTAGCACTTTCCCTGCCGCCCACGCTCTGTCTGAGCCCAAGCACAGAACCTAAATGTTAATGGAGGTTCCAGATGCGGGAACAGTAAGACACACTCGCGACAGGACGGACGTACAGCGGGACCCTTAACCCTGAAGACCGGACGGCACGGCGGCTACGTGTGACGCCAGCCGGTCCCTGGTCCAAGCGAGAGCTGGAAGCCACGGGCAACCTCTCCGAGCGAGACACACGCTGAACCCAGCGCCTGCACGGACACCTCCAGCCGGGAGGGAGAACGCCGACCTTCCCATCAACACAGAACCGCCGGGTCTGGGCCGGCGCCTCTGACCACGGCACCTCTAACAACCAGCATGTACATGTTTCTGATGACGCTTTAAGGAGCATCGACATGGATCGGGCATACACACATGGCCGCCGGCAGAACGTCCCCACCGGAGGCCGAGTCGTCCCGGCAAAGGCAGGCCGTGGCTCGTGGATGCGGGCGGCTGTCTCCCTGAGGGACACGCACCTGGTGGGTCTGCCAAGTCTTTAGTATCAAGACCCGGAGAAGGGAAAGGGGGGAGTCGCACGCACGGATGGGAGGCCACAGAACAAATGAGCAGGCAAAGTGAGCGTTCTTCAGTCTTTTACTTCGATTGAACAAGGAACAGCGCCGACGCTGTTCGCTGCAAGGTACACAGTATTCACGAGAACAGTGCTGGTCGTTAGAGGAAACGCACTCGCCTCAGGTTCTCCTCCAGGCTTTTTCTCTTTTAGAAAGATACTGTTTACCAAAAAGAAACGTCAGCAGTACAGGAAAAACGATTTTCCCAATAAATGTACGAAAACCTAAGATTCCCAATGGAATCAAGATTATCTTCCCGCGATCACCACCTTGCAAACAATCACATGCTTGTGGGGCACCCTGTCCACGCCCTACGAGGACGTTCACGGTCGACAACGAGGGCGATTCTCTAAGAGAAACCAGTGCGGCCGGCGGCACACGGGTCTCCGCAGGTACTGAGCATCCGCAGTGGGCAGCTAACACTGAATTCCATTTTATTGTATAAATAATTGTTCCCTTAGCGGTAAACCGGAGTCTACACATTCGCAACAGTCCTAGGAAATAAATACTGTGATTATGCACACGACAGGTCATGACAAAACTAGTTTCGAAGAACAAACAGCAGCTCGACACCCTGGATGAAAACCCTGATCGGAATCCAATGGGCACCTTCAAATTTAAAACATTGTCAAGGTCACATCACATCGAAAGTCACATGGTTCGCACGAGGTTGGAGTCTCCGGTTCTGGAACACGTTTTTCGGTTGTGAATTAAAGTAACGAACACGTTGGAAATGGTTGATTTCAGGGATGACATCGGTGTTGGTCTGACTCTCGCGTTATTTTCTTTATAAAAAGTTGCACTCAGTGTCCATTCATGGTCTGATTGGTCTTCAGTATTTCATTAGTGCATATAAAAGAAACTCCTAAAAACCGACAGTGCTTCACACATGTGTATATATGTATACATAAAACAATCTCATCTCAGACATGGCTGTCATGGACAGAGCCACACACACTGATGCTAGACATGAGCGCTTCCACCTACAGACAGCGATTTCAAAAATTCACTTACATTCATTTGATCACAGTAAATATTCCCAAACTCAACGTGTGACACGTGACAGAATATACATCTTGTTTGCACCCGAAGCTGACCACCACCGACATGTACAGTGTGATTGAAACAAGCCGATGTTTAAAAACGTTTTAATTCAAGGTAACAATTCCATGGGAGGAGGCGGAAGACTGGGAGGACAGGAAGTATTTGGTCTTCGTGAGGCAATACAAAACAGACCATTATCAAAGACCATTTCGTTTGGAAAGATCGACAATACCAAAAGCATCAAGTGGATATAAGAAAATAGCTTTTGTCCGTGTGATTTAATTAAAGCTGTTTACAGGTAGGTATTCCCTCCCACGGGAGCATGAACTTTAAAAAAGAGATGAGAGACAGGCAGGCGCAGAGCCCGGGCGGGAGGCGCCGCGTGCAGAGTCCGCAGCCAGGGCCCGCGTGGCAGGTGGGGGACGGACATGTGGCCTCTCGCCCGATCACAAGTTAAAAAAACACCGCAGAGGAAACAAACATGGGATCTCATACCTGCCCACTGCCCAGCGACAGCACGAGAGGAAGCGGGTGCCGGTCACGTTCGGAGATGAGCGAGCTGTTCAGTGTTTACACAAAGTACATAGTACGGATATATATTCGTTTGTACAAAATAAAATCAATGTCATTTGCCACCATCAACACCTTTACTCGAGGGAGGAGACGTGCTCGCGGCGGCCGGTCCTGGGGGCCCCACTAGGTCATTCAACGCAGAGCAAGTCGAGTGCGAGAGCTAGTCACGTCCCCGCGCGTGGATGTTAGGATGACAATTCAGATTATTTTGCAAACTAATCCTGAGAAAAATCTGTTTACAATTTAAACAGTAATGTTATGTAAAAAGTCTTAACAAATCCACTATTACAAATATCGATTTCCTATGTGGTCATCTATATATACACACAATAAAATGGTAAATATATGCAAAAATATTTAAAAAACACATGCACAGACCACTTCCCCCTGGGAATCTGGGCTTCCTATGAGAGACCTGTTCTCCTCCCCGTCCTCCAAAACCCCCCTCCTCCCCCACCCCCCGACTCTGCTCCCTAACTCTGCAGAAAGCCAGAGAAATAGATCTACTTTACATTCAGGCTTTGAACCTGAAACGACCCTGTTGTAGCAAATGACTTATCAAACGAGCAGCCCTCCCCCCGTTTTGCGTGCGTTTTGCTTTTGCCGCTGTCAGTCTTCATGATCCATCCGCGACGAGCCGGGAAAACACACAGTTGCTCAATCAACACGTGGCCAGCGCCGGCTCCTGAACGGGTCCCAGGAGGCCCCGGGCCACTGTTGGGGCGTGAGGTCACTGCGCACAGCAGGCGTCCGTGGCACCGCCGACTACCTGCACAGGTCGGCCAGGGGCGCGTCCCTCTTGTGCTTCCTCCGCTTGCCGTGGAAGCACTGGTTAGTGGGTTTGCCTGGATGCGGCTTGTTTGCCACCAGGACACCATGGCTGGTGGGAGCTGTACCTGGGAAGCCTTTGCTGGAAGAACGGAAGAGCCGGGCGGGTCCGTGCTGCGGGAAGGAAGCGGGCAGAGACGTCAGTACCATGAGGCGCCCGCACGGCTCACCCACCCCGGGAGCTCTCAAACCAGGGCTCCTCCCGAGCTCCGGAACTGGCCCTCTGTCCCTGGGATGCCGAGCACAGACCACCCTGCCCTGGAGCCTGCCAGCCAAGACGCCACAGAAGTGGCCCCGGGGCTCCGACACCAGGTACACGGGGGCTGGCCGCCCTCCTGCCGTCACCTGCCACGTTCACTGCCCCTCGGGGCGATCCGATCGGGGCACAGGCCTGAGGCCGTGCCGGTGAAGGACCTGCAGGTCAGCGGGGGCATGCGTGACGGACACGCCCAGCGCGGGGAGAGGTGGGATGGCCTCAGGCCGGGCCGGGAGCAAATGGCTTCTCCCCCATCAGGTGCAGTGCCCGTGATGATACAACTTCAGGCAACAAAACAGCTTAAAATAGAGGCGCTCTGAGGCCTTTGTAAGTGAAAGCTGATGCCAAACACTGACCATTTCAGCCCAGACACCTGCATCGGCCATGAACACATCCCAGGGCCCGCTATTCCCAGGTGTGCGCACGCGGCCACCGGTCACACCGAGCTGCCCCTGCAGAGACTTAGGTGCAAGGAGACCCTTTACAGCCGCTGCAGCCTCTCTGCTGAGTCTGGGATGAGGGCGGTGGGGCCGGCATCGCACCAGGACCAGGACGGGACGCCCGGAGGTCTGTGTCCCGGGCCCTGTCGCTAGAAGCCCGTCGTGCAGTGCAACCTCTTACAACCACGCAGGTTTGCTCTTTAACCTGAGTCTCCTGCAAACCCACACTGTACACGTGTAACTGGCATGTAAGAAGCTGGACATGCGCTGCACTGAATGCTCAGTGACGCACACGTGTAACTGACATGTGAGAAACAATGACGCACACATGTAACTGGCATGTAAGGGACAACATACTCTGCACTGCCTGCTCACAGTGATGCTCACATGTAACTGGCATGTAAGAAGCTGGACCTGCGCTGCACTGAATGCTCAGTAACACACGTGTAACTGACATGTGAGGGACGACAATGACACACACGTGTAACTGACATGTGAGGGACGACACGCTCCGCGCTGGCTGCTCAGGAGAAGCGTGCTCACGCACCTGTGACTTGCTGGCGCTGCTGGGTGTGGCGGGGGCCGGGGCGCTCTGCACCTTGCCCCCCGCCGGCGAGGACTCCGCGGCCACCTCCTGCGACCCCACTCGGCTCCCGGCGGACGGACGGCAGAGCAGCTGCTTCGGGGTTTTGCACGGCGTGGCGTCTGAGTCCTGACACAGGTCGCGTGGGTTACAATGTGGCATGTGAATCACTTAGTCAACGTTCAAAAAGAAACCCATTTCAGCTCAGTGCTCCCGGGACCCATTTAAACATCTGGGAACTGAAGGAAGCACAGAGGACTTTACGAAGAGCAGTGGTTACGTTTTCCTCCGAACACTGAAAGTGGCTCATTCCCCAGAGGGTGTCTGTTCGTTCCTCCCTCCCGGGCACGTCTGCCTCCGCCCCAGTGTCTGAGCCGCCTCGCTCGGCGTGGTCCTCCCAGCACCCAGCTCAGCTCTGCCCGTGAGGCCTTCACGCCCTACGCCGTGCAGGCGCTGTCGGCAGGGAAACAGCGTCCTTCCCACATTCCAGCCCCCTGCCTCCCGCCTCCCCGGCCAACATGCAGCACTGGGGGGCCGTCTCGGGTCTCAGTGCCGTAAACTCCATCAACCCGAGGGGAAGGGGGGCTGTGGGAGTGATCCCCAAAGTCCCCCCTGGGAAAGGCGGAGAGCAGACAGGCTGCTGGGGGTGGGGAGGGGCCGCCAGGGCCGCTGACAGGTCTGCGTGGGTGATGGGACTGTGTTGGGGTCATCTGGGTGACGGCTGTCCAGCACTGTGAGTGCCCTGGAAGCGAGGAATCAGCCGTTTTCAACGTGACCCAGCCGGTTAACATCCCACCAGGAGGCTCCGAAGCATCTGAGGAGCCTCGCAGAGCGACGCACGCGCTCCACCTGCGGATGCCGACAGCGGCGGCCACCGCCTTAGACGCCCACGGGGACCCTGGGTGGGGTGGGGCTGGGACTGGCTGACGGCGTCCTGGGGGACGCTCCCTCTCTCCCCTCTCGGGAGGGCTGGGTTCTCGTGTGTACGCATTTGTAAAGACTCCGTGAATGTACAGGATTCCTGATGTGTCCATCTCATGTCAAAAGCAACACTGGGACCAGCCTGTGCTCTGCCTAACGGGGGGCATGCAGCACTCGGGGCGCCCACTGACCTCCCCCGGGAGCCTGTCAGGGAAGCAGCAGGAATGGAGCCCCCCCTTCGTACCCACCACGTGCTGGAGGGGCAAGCGCCATGGGAGCACCCACTGCGTGCCGGAGGGGCAAGCGCCATGTGAGCACCCACTGCGTGCCGGAGGGGCAAGCGCCGAGTGAGCACCCACTGCATGCCGGAGGGGCAAGCGCCATGGGAGCACCCACTGCGTGCCGGAGGGGCAGGCGCCATGTGAGCACCCACTGCATGCCGGAGGGGCAAGCGCCGAGTGAGCACCCACTGCGTGCTGGAGGGGCAAGCGCCGTGTGAGCGGTGGAGCCCGGGCAGGGGCACTGACGTTTGTGCACGTGTGCGGGGAGCTTGTCGATTGTAACTGACAGCAGCATCATGAACGTCTGAGATTCCCAGTACCAACGCGGTGAGCGAGCCCCTCCGCCCCGACGCCGCCCCCGCCGCGCCCCGTACTCACCACGTCGCTGGAGCTGGACTGGGTGGCGGACGAGGAGGACACGGGGCCCGACGAGGAGTTGGAGGAGTGCTTGCTGAGCGGCTCCGCGGTCTTGCCCCTGCACTTCCCGAGGGCGTCGCTCTCGCCCGAGAGGCCCCTGTGACATTTCTCCAGCTGCGGGGGCTCCACCATCAGGGTGACACCGTTTCCTGAGAGGGGGCGGAGGGGAAACGTGTCTTCCCGCGAGTCACGCCCCGTGGGGACAGCGGTGGCGACGGCGCGGGACTCACCGTTGCACGAGGGCTCGGGCCTGCTCGGCAAGCCCCACTGCTTGGAGATCCAGTCCCGGTACGTGGCGACCTCGTCCGTCACCCTGATGATCCTGCCCAGGATGCTGCGGGGTGAGAGGAGGGGGAGTGAGCCTGAGGCCGGAACCCGTCCTCCCGGGCGCCCGCCGAGGGGGGCGTTACCTCTCCGTCTCGTTGTTGGGGTAGTGCTTGGCAATGGGCGACACGGCGTGGCTCAGCACCACGTAGGCGTAGTCGAAGGCCTGCTTCACCTGCATGGCTCCGTACGAGCTCCTCCCGACGTCATTGCCTGGGGAGAGGGGCAGGTCAGGGGGGCCACCACCGCCCCTCGGGGCTCTGCCTGCAACGCGGGCGATCGGGGCCCGCGGAGCTGCCCTGGGACCCGGCGTGGACGTCCCGACTGAGCAATCAGAACGGGTGCTCGGGCTCCACGTGCCCGGCTGCCAGGCACCACCCCACAGGCTTCCTGCAAAACAAGGACCGGGCCGGT